AACACCGCGGGAGCCCCCCCAGCCCCTCTTCTCGAAAGGCCCGCGCTCAGCGCAGGCCTGTCAGGCGAACGCCAGTCCCGAGCGCTGCGCACGCAGCCAGTAGCGCGCACGCTCGCCCCGAGGCCGCACGGGAGGAGGGCTGGCGTGCGCGCCTCCGCGACGGTGGGCGGGGTCCTGGGCGGGGCTCCGAGCCGGACCGGGGCGGGGCCGCAGAAGCAGTAGGTGCAACAGCTTGGTCGCGACAGGTGCGCGAGGCAGAGCACCCGGGTGCAGTGGCAAGGCTGGTGGCAGCTCAGAGGAAAGACGGCTTTTAGTCAGGTAAGGGATTTTCTCTCTCCACATGCCCCACAGCCAGCGAGTGCGAAGAGATCCCGGCTTGCCTCCACACCCTCTTTCTCCTGCGACTTCTGGGACTGGGGGAGTATTAGCAGCATGAGCCCCTCCCCCTCGAGGTAGAGGGTGGAGTAGCCGCTGATCCTCTGCTCTTTCCTCACTTCTTGGTACTGCGCTGGGGATGGGAGTGATTAAGCAGGACTGAGCCTTGCTGCCCGAGGGCGGGAGCTGATAGGCGCCTCTCTTCCATTGGGAACATTTCTGTAGCTATTATATATACTTTTTTGGTGTGGTGGGGAATGTGGCAGTTCATCAAAATTCAAAATATGCTTCCTGGGTAATATTCTAATATTCAATTACGTCTTTTCCTTGTTCATTTACAGCCCTTCCTTCTCCCTTGGATTTTTCTCCCCTTCCATTCCACCACCTGAACTCTGTTTAACACTTAAACCCTTTGAGTATGTTGAGAATATAGCAGTTCTTGCAGCTGGATGTGTCATCCTGAATCGCTATCATGCGTATATTGTTGGCACCTGTCACCAACATAAGTAGATGTTAATACAAAGTAACTGTATACCCTGGCTACACATACGGAAGCTTGGAGTTGTAGGTGCTAGCAGCGCACCATCTGGCTTCCTTCCTAGCCTCCTTATTGGTGCTTGGAACAACTAGTTTAGCTGATCCTGGTGAGAGATATTTGAACTAATACTGTCTTGCACCTAATTCCATTTTTCAGAAGCCTGCCTAATCCAACTGGTTCTCTTGACTTGACTTTCCAAGTTAGTCAAGGCACTTAAGTTACGTTTTTTGTTTGTTTGTTCCTTTTGGAGTTAACAATTTTTAAGACAACTCTTAGGGGAAGGACTTCTTTTGCATTACTAATTTTGTCTTTTGCTCTTGATTTAAATGGTTAAATGGAATACTTTTTAATCTGTATCTTGCTAACACTATTAAAAATGATAACCATGCAATAACGTATTTAAATGATAAATATCATTTATCATTACCTGTATGAGGTCTGATGTACATATAAATAAGATAACCCTCAACAAACATTTTCAAAGGTCTTAAAGAGTTATACCTTGGATGAAGAGTGGTCATGTTTTACTTAGGCAGACTTTTATAAAGTTGTAGAGTTGGCAGAAGAGAACATTTTTATAAAAAGTGTGCTTCTGTATTTTTCTTGTTTTGCACTGATAGAAGAACACATAATATGATACTAGGTAATTAGTTTAGAAACTTACTTCATTCTTTGGGAAAAATATTTATCAAATGCTGCTTGTGTTAGTCCTACTGTGGATTTAAAATTCCAAATGTCCTTACCATTAAAGAGCATAAATTCAAATGGGTTAGGCAGAGCCATACATAGAACTTTGGATATTAGTGAGGTCAGTTCTATACTGGAGGTCAGCCAGGGTACATGGATTTAAAAAAAAAAAAAGTTCCTCCCCTTTTTTTCCTTAAAAGTAAAACAAACATGCATCAACAATAGAAACCTTGGAGAACTAATGAGTGAGTCTCTCCAGTCCATGTATTTGTGTCACTCTTGTATTTCTTACTGTGTGTCTTTCAACTGCATGGCCTTTTGAAGATAGGATTAGGTCCTGTTGCTAATTCTCTGGCAGTTTGGGATCGGGAGTTGATAGAGCTGTTCTCACTGTTCTGTATTGGACTGGGAAGCGTTATCAGGTAGTCAATGAACTCTAGAGCATCTGGGAAGAGAACAATATATTGGCAACCGTTAGCATAGCAGTGCCATTTTGTAAAAATTACCTCATTGTGTAACTTTGTTTAACTTGGTACACTCAAGCTTTGTTCTAGGCTGATTAAAGGTGGGGCCCAGATTTAAATTTACTAATTTTAGGAAGAGAAAGCTTCAGAAGTAAAAACAATTCTATTAACAACATATCTTGGTGATAGAACATACTTTTTCCTGCTAAGATCCCCTCAAAATATTTTTTTCTTTTTAATTTAATTATTTATTTAAAAATTTGCTAGAGGGTATATACACTGGGTGCACTCCAGAGAAAGTGAGAAAGCGCCCTCCAACAGGGCATAGTCATGTTGTAATCTCTTCTCCAGAGAGAGAGGATAAGTGAGAAAGCACCCCCAACCCCACCCACCATGGAGAATGGTCACATAGCAATCCCTTCTGCTCCATTTCTCTGTACTTTTGCGATTTTGGATATGCATTTACATGTGCCTGATGCTTTTTCCAAGCCACTGGTCCATGACTCACACCACACAGTCAGCCATGTGGGATCCAGCTTCCTTAACCACCATGCCACTGATTAGCCCTTCTTTTCTTTTTGCCTTGGATGGGGAGAAAAGAATCAGAGTATTTGGAGATTCCTTATAGTTTTGATAACAGTGTATTTAAAGCTCTTCTGTAACTATAGGCTTTTACTGCCTACTTCATGCCGTTGTTCTAGTGTATGGAGAAGGAACATTACAGGGTTCCTTCTACATGATTGTGCTCTTCATTTTCTAAATAGAGGATTTGAGTTAATACAGATGGTGGTTGTTTTATTTGATGATTTAAACTATGCTTGAAGAATGCTTCTCTTTAATAGTGCTCTTTTTAAAAAAATTTTTGTCTTAAGGTACATGTGCTGGGGGGGACACACCTTCTCCTCCATTCTCCTCTTGAGAGTTTGGGCACATACTCACACACACCCAGTGTATTTTCAAGGCTCTGGGACTTGGACTGACTGTGTTGATGGCCATATGGGATCTAGCCACATTAACCATTATACCATGAGCTGGCCCAACAGTGCTCATTTCTTTCTGTTTATACTCTAGGACAGTGGTCTCCACCAGAAATTTTTTGGAAAGGCAGCAGGTATATTTCTTTTTCTTTTTAAAATTTGCCAGAGGGCATGTGTGCTTGCCAGAGGGAGGCAGGAGAGAGAGAGACAGAGAAAGTGAGAAAGCACCCGCTGCGGGGGCTAGTCATGCTACAATCTCTTCTCATTTCTCCCCTCCTTTGAGATTTTGGGCATATATGCAGGTGCCCAGTGTATTTCTCAAGCTGCCATGTCTGGGACTTGAACTGCACAGTCAGCCATGTAGGATCCAGCCAGTTTAACCACAACGCCACCTGGCCTTATATATTTTATTCATAGCTTATTTTTTTTATTATACATTCAACCACTATATATCACTGCAGCTTATAAAATGAATTTTTTCCCAGCATGAATACACTGTATATTAGTCCAGCTAAAGGTTTTATCATACACATTATTATCAACAGATAATTTTCTCTTTTTGTATCCCTTAAATGTTTTGCTTCTTTCTTTTTCCCCTTGAGTCCATTCCTCTTATCCTTCTCCATTTTCCACCCTCCTCCCATGCTGTCTATAGTATCCACGGTTGTTCTCCATGCTTTTGTATCTTCCAGTCTTTCAGTTTCTGCCATAGAGTGCTAACACTCAGAATATATTAAGTGGGGACATAAGTATCTCTCTTTCATAGTCTTTTTTTGGTTTGATTAGCAATAAATCTTCCTTGTTTTCCACTTTCTATCAAATGCCAAGGTCTTATTTTTATGGCTGAGTAGTGTTCTATAGTGTATATATGCCATACTTTTTCAATCCATTCATTTGTTCATGGACATTTGGGGTTGGTTGTATTTAATTTTGGTTTTTTTGTTTTTTTTTTTGAGAGGTTTTCGCTATAGGGCACGTGCACTTGCCAGACAGACAGAGAGAGACATAGAGACAGAAAGCGAGAAATCACCCCCCAGGGGGGTTGGTCACACCGCAATCCCTTCTCCTCCATTTTCCTCTCAGGATCTTGGGCACGCATGCACACGTGCCCGGTGTGAGTTTTAAGCCACCAGGTCCAGGACGTGAACCGCGGTCAACTACATGGGAATCCAGCGACATAGCTATTACGCTAACTGCTGGTTCCCTGTATTTACTTTTTGACACATACATATTCATTGTAGACATACAGGTAATTGGGCTCATACTATTATAGTACATATAGTTTTATATCTACTTTTTATTTATTTATTTATTTTGAGCAATTTTTGCCATAGGGCACATGTACTCAGCCAGAGAGACAGAGAGACAAAGAGAATCACAGAGACAGGAAGTGAGAAATCACCCCCCCCAAGGGGAAGGCCACGCCTCAATCCCTTCTCCTCCATTCTCCTGTGGGATCTTGGGCATGCACATACACACACATCTGGCCTGAGGTGTTTTTTTGTTTTGTTTTGTTTTGTTTTTTTGAGAGGGTTTCACTATAGGGCATGTGCGCTTGCCAGAAAGACAGAGAGAGACAGAGAGACAGAAAGTGAGAAATCACTTTCCAGGGGGGATGGCCACCCAGCAATCCCTTCTCCTCCATTCTCCTCTTGGGACCTTGGGCACGCATGCACACATGCCTGGTGTGAATTTAAGCCACCGGGTCCGGGACTTGCACCACAGTCAACTACATGGGAGTCCAGCAACATAGCCATTATGTCAACAGCTGGTCCCCGGCCTGAGTTTTAAGTCACCAGGTGTGGGACTCGAACCACAGTCAACTATGTGGGAGTCTGCTGACATAACCTCAATGGTTATTATGCTCTCTGCTGGTCCAACTTTTTTAATTTTTGTTTTCTTAAGAGATGTTTTTGCTATAGTGTGCTTGCTCTCACCAGAGAGACAGAGAGAGGCAGAGAGATAGAAAGTGAGAAGTCATCCCTCAGGGGGATGGTCACACTGCAATCCCTTCTCCATTCTCCTTTCAGGACCTTAGGCATGCATGCATATGTGCCCCATGTGAGTTTTAAGCCCTTGGGTCCAGGACTCAGACCACAGTTGACTACGTGGTAATCCAGCAATGTAACCATTATGCCATCTGCTAGTACCCACACTTTTAAAAAAGTAGTTAATTTTATTGTTGTTATTACTAGTAGTAGTTTTTTAATTTGCCAAGGAGAGAGGGGTGGGGAATGAGAAAGCAAGCCACCAGGTCCAGGATTCAAACCACAGTCA